ATATATATTCATTTCTATATAAAATCTTCCTTATAAGAGGTATTAAATATACAATTTGATAGTCTGTTAGACTCTCAAACCCAAATTGAGAAAAAACTGAAAAGAAATTAATGTCCACAATGATATGTTCCTTGTTAAGACTTGTTAAATTGCACGGAAATGGGCAGAAGAAAAGTGACCTAAACTATAATGTTCATATACATTGCCAGTCATCAAATTTAAGGATAATTGGAGGTCTGAAATGACAAAATTTTAATGCAATGACAAAATTTTAATCACATTTTAATGCACAATATATAACTGATTAACCAGGAGTTTTAATCACTCTTATGTTACAGATGACAAAAGACTGTTCTATCCAGGAATAAATACCTCCCTGCCTTGTTTTAATTTGGACAAATGATAGGCACTAAATCCCTTGAGGTGAAAGAATGCTTTATTAAGAAATAATGAACTTTATATTCCAAAAAGTTAGAAGAAAGTATTTTGAAAGTTTTACCATAAAGAAATGATAAATGTTTGAGGAGATAGATATGTTTAGCTTTATTTAAACACTAGACAGTGTATACACGCACTGTAACATTACATGTTACCCTATTAATATGCACAATTTTAGGTTTTGTATCAGTTAAAAATAAATTTAATTTAAATTTAAAATATAATTCCTCTTTTTCAACATTTCCACCTTTCCCCAGTGACTGTAATACTGAATGTCACATTTTTTTAATGAAAATTTCCCTTATCCAAACAGAGCCTTTAATATGAAGATACACTCCTTCTTCATCTGACCTCTCAGGCCCTCCTGAACTTGAGGCTGTGTACCAGATCTTTGGCTGTTCAAGGAAAATGGCCTTCATTTTCATGTATCTTCTCCAGGTAACCCCAGAGGTTGTCTTTCATTCCCACTATTGAGGCTCACCCTACTGGCACCTCCCATTACATCTTGCTTCCATTCATGCATACATGCATTCATTCACTCAGTGCTGGGGTTAAAATCAGTACACATGCATGTTAGAAAAACATTCTACAACTGAGCTACATTCATAGTACCTTTGAGGGGAAGGACTGGGTCTCACCAGAATGTCCAGGCTGGTCTCAAACTCACAATCTTGCTTAAGCCTTCTGCGTAGCAGAGATTACTGGTGTGTGCCACTCTGCCTGACCCATGTCTTGCTCCCAGTCTCTGCATTCATTTGCACAGAAGCTAAGATGAAGATTAATTTTCAAAGGTTATATATTTTTTAAAAAGAATGTGCTTCTTAAGGCCTCTGTTGTAAATGGGGGAAGGAATCGGGCCAAGCTGAACCCCAGCCAGGCTATGTATTTACCGGAGGTGTTCAGCATCCTCTCTGCTCCTCTGCTCTCTGTTGCTGCTTGGGTTGAATAGATATCCTATCAGTCATTACATTTATCTTTGGAAATTTAATCTTTATTATTTTAATATTTAAAAATCATTTCTCCCCCTGTACAAAGTCTGTTCTTCTCTGATAGCAGTGTAGTTGATTGTGCATGCAAAGTGGTATATTAATTAAGTCAGGCTGTCATATAACAAAACAGCATGGACTAGGGAGCTTAAACAATCAAAATTTGTTTTCTCATAGTTTTAGAAGCTAGATGTCCCAGGCCAAGGTGCTGGCCACTGCAGTTCCTGGAGGGCACGCCCTTCCCAACTTGGAGATAGCTGCCCACTTGCTGAGTCCCCACATGGTCTTTCTATAACCAGTACAGCAAAATGCAATTATTAAAGTTAGAATTTCTTCCTTTACAAAGAAGCTGCTCAGGCCTAGGATATAAACCACCATGTTCTCTTTTCCTCAGCCCAGATAAATGGACAGAATATGGAGATACCGACCCCAGGAAAGTGAAGTCAAATTTCATTTCCATGGGGAAGGGAGGGAGAAGAAAGGGGCCAGAAGATAGACAAGGCAAGCTTGAAACTGTTTATTGTCTCCTTGTATTCCCTCTCTCCTGTTTCTTACTATAAAACACTATACACTCCTGGAAACAGGAGGTGGTGATTTAGATGCTGAGGCCCCTTTACTTCCTTGGACCCAGCTTTCAATAAATTCTTTTTCTTTTTCACCAAAAAACAAATGGCCTCTTTTAGCTGGGCATGGTGGTGCATGCCTGTGATCCCAGCCCTCGGGAAGCTGAGGCGGGAGGATTTTTTTTTTTCATTTTTTTTTCTGGTAACTGGAATCGAACTCACGACCTTGCACTTGCCAGGCAGGCGCTGTGCCACTGAGCTAAATCCCCAGCCCCTAGGCAGGAGGATTGATGCAAGTTTGAGGCCAGCCTGGGTTACAAAGTGGATTCAAGGCCAGTTTGAACTGCATAGTGAGACCCTGTCTCAAAAAAGAAAAGTAAATAAGTGCCTCTTTTTATTTGGTCAGTTGTAAACAAGTGAACCTGAGGAATCTGAGAATATAGACCTAAGTGGCCAATAACACTTCATTTGTAGTGCACTGAAAGAGATTTCTGGTGTCTCTTTCTCTTCCCAGAGTCCTGTCCAATGAGGATCCCAGCCTTATGACCTCACTTAACCTTTGTTACCTTTTCATATGCTGTATCTCCAAATACAGTCACACTGGGAGTTAGGACTTAAATGTTTTGAATGTGGTAGCACAATTCAGTCCACAATGACTGGGTTAAGAGTAAAACAGATCTCTTCATTTTTCACTACATTAACAAGTTATCTGAGATATATGTGGAAAGTATGTATCTATCTACATATATACAAACATTTAGAACTGACCAAGAGGAGAAGTGAGCAGGTTGTTCGATTGGAAGGTGCAGAGAATGCACTTGGGGAAGGAGGACGAAGGATGTTAGGAAGGAATGGGGGAACTCATCTGGCAGAACAGTAAAGAAGGAGCAATGGCACCCTATACTTGCAGTTTTTAACCAAGGTAGTGGTGAGATGCTAGCAAGATCTCATGACAAAGCAAACAATTTCCACAGGATTCAGAAGGCTTTTTTGACTTCCCACTTCTCCCACTATCCACGGGGTCAAAGCTCTGCCTGACAGACTGGAATATGAACATTGCTTAACCTGTCCTATTCTGATTGCAGGCTCACTAGAAATGGCAACTATGTCCATTTAACTCACTCTCTATGGTATTATTGGGCAGAGAACCACTTAAATGCTTTTGATGATGATGATTATAGGGAAAAGTGGAATATAAAGGGCTGCTGACAAGTTTCATTGTAACAACTTTTATAACCCCATTATTAAGGAGATGAATATCTTCATATTCCTAAACAAGAGGTAATCACCTGTCTAAAGCCTCTTTGCCCCTCACTGATTTTGTTAAAATGCTATTCTCATTCATTCTCCATCTTTTCCTCCTTGGTATGCATTAGTTACTATGGAAACATCAAGATACCATGCTTTGAACATATCAATATTCCCATGTTCTATTAGAGTATGAAGGCAATTTATATCAAGGTATTGGAGGAGGGACTTGTTGCTGAGGGTTTCAGATAAATGAAAGATGAAAAAAAGGCATGGCACTGCCAGACAAATATAGGTTTTATTCATACAACACCAGAAAAGGCTTACAGTTCATCCTGCCTACCCACTCTGTATATCAGGGTCCTGGCTATAGTTACCAAATATTTTCCTACCAAGTAAAAGTATTGATGTATACCACCAACAAGGGTTCTTTCAACTCAGAACTTTAGAAGAACAGTTTTAAAAATTAGCCAAGACTGACTGAACCATAATACGGAATTAGCACACTACTGAACAACTGATTTTATCATCAATAAATACAATACACACACATGACACATGCATCAAATATGAAGTCCACATTCCAACCATGAAATTAATGGAGCTACAGGTATCTATACCTATTATTTCTGCCTTTCCTCCTATTCTAATACATGAGAGTCCTAGAAAAGTTTAATAACTTATGTGATTTCAACTATCACCCATATACTGAACATTCCCAAATGCATATTTCAATCTCAGAACTTTGCACACTCCAGTGTAAGGGCCTCCAATATATACATGTCTCTGTCATCACAATGTTTTATATATGATTAAAACTGAACTTATCTTGACTAATTAGTCAACTTGACTATATTAGTCAAGGTTCTATAAAGTGCCCTAGAGAAGATATAGATACAGATCTAGATATAGATACAGATACAGATATAGATACACATAGATACCTGAAACTTTAAGATTTGTTGTAAGGAACTGGTTCACATGATTATGGAGGCTGAACAGTTCCATGATAAGCTATCTGCATGCCAGAGACCCAAGAGAACCAGCACCACAGTTCCAATCTGAGTCCAAAGGCTGAGAAGCCGGAGAACCAGTGGTATAAATTTCAGTCCAAATGCAAAAGAAAACTGATGTCCTAGCTTTAGAAAGTACAGAAAATGAATCCTCCTATACACTGCCTTTTGTTCTATTAAGGCCTCAAATATATTGGAAGAGACCCATCTTCACTGAGGTCAATCTGTTTTACTAAATCCACTGTTCAAATATTAATCTCATCCAGGAACAGCCTCACAGAAACAGTTTTTTTAATCACTTCCCTCATCGCTGAGACACAATACCCAACACCCACAATTTAAAGGAGGAGAGGTTTACTTTGGTTCACATTCCAGTCCATAGCTGGTTGGCTACAAGAGAGGAGAGCTACTCACAATGTGGTAGACAGGAAGTGGATAGAGACAAGGAAGGACCTGGGAAAGGAGCCCAAACCTTCCTGTTCACGCCAACAGTGCCTGGTCTTTTCCAACCACATCCCATCTCCTCCCGGTGAATCAGCTAGAATGCCTCTATAATCCATCACCTTCCACAGGCCCTACTTATGATCCAATGAGGCTTCAGGGCGCCATCCAGATATAAACTACAATATACACCCAGAATAATGTTTAGCCCAATATCTTGGCACGCCCATGTCCCAGTCAAGTTGACACACAGATATAACTGATCATAATATCACCTTTCCTCTGAAACTGGGTACTGTTCCATATTCTTTACTTCAGTTGTGACACCACATAATCCAATCACTCAAGCTAGGAACCTGCAAATCACCTCTATTTTTTTCCTGCCTTATTCACTATGTTAAATCAAACATCATGTCCTGAAAATTTTACCTCTAAAATGTTCCTTGAATTTGTCCCCTCCTCTATATTTCTTTTTAAAATATTATGTATTAAATAATGCCATGAAGCCCTGTAAACCTCACACTCTTGAAGGCTGAGACAGAAGGATCACAAGTGCCAGCCCAGCCTGTGCCCCCTTCCGTGTAGGTACCTACTATATATGTATCTCTGTCATCACAATGTTTTATATACAATTAAAACTGAACTTATCATCTGTATTAGTCAAGGTTCTAAAAAGTTCCCTAGAGAAGATGTAGACATAGATACAAATATAGATGTAGACACAGATAGAGATACAGAATAGATACAGATATAGATACATATAGATAGCAACTTAGGAAGACTCCTGAGTTCAATGAGAAGGCCTTGAGTTCAGTCCCTCAGTACTGCTAATAATAATAGTAGTAATCATAGTAATAATGATGATCATGCCATGAGAGATGATTAAGGTCACTTCCACCACTATCAGGTACTGCCTGCCCTTTCCAATAGTTATGACATTATTTTTATTTCTTCTAATAGTTACCTTTTTTACTTTAAATAATATGCATAAACATATTTTCTGTCTGATTAGCCATAGATAATATCTCCTAATTGCTTATTTTGCACAATGAAGTCACTAGTGTTGTATGTTTTCCTCCACTTCTCCTTACCCCTACATCCCAATGTATATCAATTTCTCCATATCTCTATTTTCTTTTTTTGTTGTTTGTTGTTTTTGGTCTTTTTTTTTGAGACAGGGTCTCACTATACAGTTCAGGATGGCCTTGAGCTCACTTTGTAGCCCAGACTGGTCTCGAACTCACAATGATCCTCCTGCCTCAGCCTCCAGCGTGCTGGGATCACAGGCATGCGCCAAGACACCCGGCTCATATCTCTATTTTCATCCTGGCTAGTCTCTACTTCCATCTTGTCACTCTATGTCAGTAGTCGCAGCCCTATAACTCTACACACAATAGCCAGAGTAATCTCTTTTTTTTTTTTCTTCCGGTAGTTGGCACCCTACAGCTGATCCACATTGCCAGCCGTTTTTATTTTATTCTTTAAATTTTGGGACAGGTCTTGCTAAGTTGCCCA